AAAAAAGGTGACGCTATGTAAATTGTTAAGTAAATTCTTTAGAAATACATTAGCCTGCACCTTCAGTTTCCTTCAAAATATAACAGGGGTGTGTGGGTGTGGGTGTGGGTGTGGGTGTGTGTGTGTATTTTAACACTATGTTAATTTTGCTGTGTCAACATCAAGCAAAGTGAGGCTATTTATAAATTCCTTTCTTTTTCAAGAGTATTCCTGGGTTGCCGTGTGTGTGTGTGTGTGTGTGTGTGTGTGTGTGTCAAAATGACGGCTTTAAAAATTCAGCAATTTAAACGAGATTGTGAGTATAAAGGGTGACCTCTTTTTGTTCTGTTGGATTTAGGGTATTTTCATAATGTTTCTCAATAAATGGGCCTTATCAGTATTCTTGAATCTAGTACTTACTGCATCAGCCATTTAAGAAAAATTTTTTTTCTCTTTTAAGGGAACGTCAGATATGATTGACTCCTATGTTAGTGACCCGATTTGTTGTTACCTTTTTTAAAGATCTAACTTTCTCTCTTGAAGAAAACAAGGAAACATTATATAGTCTACATAAAGTACTATAGATTCTTCTGAATGTATAACAATTGTATTTTTCCAAAATTTTACTTTAGAAAACATATAGCATGGGCAGTCTATTCTGATTGCTTTAAAATTTTCAAATAGACCTCAATACTTTGTTCCATCAGCTATTAAGAAACCTATTTATATTCTTTTATTTAAAAAGTCACTTCAGATTTCTCTGCTTCCTGTTAAACAATGAGTAGTTTCAATAGATAGTCATACCCTTCAATCTCAGGTTCTGGGACTTTCAGATTTGCCTCCAGTGAGAGTGGAAGGGATTTCATTGTCATTATCTAAGTGACCTATTTATAAAAACCCCTGCATTCCTCAAAGCTTCACCCTAAGCATGTCAAATTCTTTAGCGTTTTAGTTTTGCCACACATCTTAAGAGTTTATTGATGTAGACATAGGAGGACATTCTTGAGAAATGGATTTTTCAGTGATTAGGCTATCATGGTTTTTCACTATTGTTAAAACAGATTCCCAACTTAAAAATTCTTTTCCCAAGATATCATTAAGAATTGAAGAAAAGTCCATTTTCCATGTAAATGGAAAATGACAGCACAGAAATGGGTCGTCTTGTTGATTATCAGTAAAGGACAAACGCTCTATAATAGTGTAGATAGAAATCATCCAGCCAAAGAAGAGGAGGAAGCTGTCAGCACAGATTCAGACTCAAGGAAACTCAGCTTGCTCAAAGAAGAGGAGGAAGCTGTCAGCACAGATTCAGACTCAAGGAAACTCAGTTGCAAGGCAGTTGATAGTAAAATATATTTTCTTGGTTACACTAGCCACATTTCAAAGGCTAAAGAGCCACGTGTAGCTGGTGCCTACAATATTGGACTATACCAGTATAAAACATGTCTGTCATCACAGAAAATTCTGTTGTACAATGCTATTCTAGATTATTTATTATATGAACTTTTTAAAAGAGCAATTAAGCCACTAAACCACTTCTTATACTTAAAGAAGGATTGGAAAATTAATCTTTTCCAAGGATGAATTATATGAGTGATCTCTTGGCTCTGCTCACTGTAATCTCTTTCTCCTTCCGGCCCTTCTCACATTTATCATATGAGTTACAATATCCTGTTCCTTCTACATTTGTAGCTGGTCTGATTTCTCTAGTGATAGAGACTTTGGAACCAATGTTTAGAAGTTGCTAGAATAATAGAGCAACTGGCGATTGAAAATTGGATTCCTGACTGACACCTAGGATCCCCCTTGATTTCTGCTGAGTCTATTAATATTATATAATAAGAAGATTCAGTTTATTTTTAAGAGGGCTAAGCCTCTTATTTCATACAACGACAAGAGAATATTTTAATCTAAATGCAATACTTGTATTTAGATAATTAGTGAAATTTTTCATCTTTTGATAGCTGTACAGATATCTTGACCAACATTTTGTACTGACCCGTTAGGGCCTTAAAAAGTTTCTTACTGGTGATGGTTTGAATGAGTGCCGGAATGGGAACATGGTTCTCAAGCCTGATTTCCTGTCAGAACTGCCCACGGATCTTCAGAAAGAGAAAAAAAGTATGCAGTACGCAAGGTCCTCTTTTCCCTGGTCCCAGCCAGCTTTGAGAACTACTGAGATAAAAATCACAAGGGATACCAAAGAAGGAAAAAAAGTCTAGTTTTTCTGAAACAGAAACACTATCTTTGTGCTTTCTAACCTTTTTTATGTATAGCACATACAGAAAGTTGCAGTATTTGTACAGCCTTGAAAGAGTAAAGGCTGTGAGAACAGTTCTCTAGATGAAAGCCTCACTGCATCGGAGGACTGACTCCAATGGTTTCTTCTACCATAACTCCCAGCCTTGAACGTGGTGTGAACACGTAATGCTAAAATTTTTCTTAGCCTCTTTATGTTATCAAAGGACATTTGCCAGAGGATAATAATTCCATTAATTTAGTTTATTTCGTGTTTATGTATTTTTATCCTTGACTCCTTGATAAGGTTTTTTTTTGTTTTGTTTATTCGTTTGCTTGTTGTTAATTAGAAAAGCAACATCTCAGAAAATTTGGGAAATCTTGAGAAATATACAGGAAGAAAAAAATAATCCACAAAGTAATTGTTGCTAACATTTCATTCCTTTGTTGTACTAAATTGTCAGCTTCCAGAGATGCCTTCTAATTTGAATATTCTAGGATTTGATATATATGCTTGAAATTTTTCGCAGTAAAAAATAGTTAATTCTAGAAGTGATCTCTGAGACACTGCAGTTTGTCTTATTTTTAAATATTACTTTTGCTTTTAGTTTTTCTGTTCCTAAGCCAGTTTCTTCTTGCAAAGATCCCTTCTCAGTGACTTAATATTTCATAATCTTTGACATGTAAATTAAACCAGCATTTTTAAATCACACACATGGCTTGCATGCATACACACACACACACACACACACACGTTTACCCTAAATAAATCAGACCTGATTATCCTGCATTAATCATTGTTTCTTCTCTCTTTTTAAATACATTTTTAAGTAAATTCCTCAAGCCTAGAGTATGAACATAAGTCATTAATCTGTACCATATTGAAGCTCCATTTAAAGGTGTGAGCCATATTGACAGAACTAGCCATTTATAACACAGTGGCCCATTAGTGGTGCCAGATTTCCAAGAGTCAGTGGGAAATTTCAGTTTGACCTTGAGTATCCTCTGCTTTTGGATAGTATCTGATATTCATTATTTCTTAAACATTCATTCTCCCGAACTCCACCCTCCTTTCCAATAATCTCTAAGTCAGGTACTGTTCTATCTAATTTCAATGCCAAGCTGTTGAAAAATAGAATAGATGAGATTGCTTTAAAAATTAAAATTAAATACTAAAAATGAATAGAACTTTAAGCTACTTGTATTATACAAAGTATGTATCAGTGCAGTCACGTGATTAAGCCAAAACGAAAAAGAAGTTATACTTTATTCCATGATCAACATTTGATTAAAATAAAATCACTAGCATTCCCTTAAACCATAGAGGGCACTTTAAAATATAAAGAAGTCTTAAATTTCTGTAATTTAAGTTTTCTGTGAAAGAAAAACTTTATATCTATAGTTGTCTATTTACAGGTTACTTTCTAGTGCCATAAAAAATTTATTCTGTGCTGCATATCAACATGTTTGTTTCCCCTCTACATGAGATATCACCTACAAATACCTTGGTCCCTTGCTGGATAGCATTGGAGGAAAAAAAAAATTTGAGATTAACTGATGCGTAGATTTGAGTTTGATGCATAGAAGTTCCAGTTTAATATGTAGATGTATAGATTTTAAATTAAATTATTTAGCTTGAATAAAACTTTGTAAAAGTCAGTTAAACCAGGAATATGAAGTTTCTCATTTGACAGCCAAAACAGATTTTATTGACATGAAACATCAATAACTTGTTTGAAAATAAAATTGTCTAGATGCACAGTTTTCAAAATTTTTTACTTCTATTATTTGTTTATTGATCTTAAGATTAGTAAACTTTTGTTGTAGATTTTGCTAAATCAGTAAAGTAGCATTTGTTAACCATGATAGAATGCTTATTTTCTAGGGTGAAAATTATGTAAACTAAATGTCACAAAATCGCAATTATAAGTAGACGTCTCTGCTTAACGAATGGTATAAACTCTGTTGGCCTTTTACTCTGTATATATAATGATGATTGTCTTTTGAATGCTTTAACTCTTAAGTCCAGAGCCTGCTAAAACAAATATTTTTTTAGGGGCAGTAATTAAGTACAACAGAGCTGGAAATGTGAACCATGATTTTAGCCTTTTTAGGAGCTAGGGAGATACACTGAGTCTTTGCTAAGTAAATTTTAGTTTGCATATACTTGAAATAATTCTACAGATGGTGTTATACTGTGAGAAAACTCAAAATAAAGTATATAAATGTCTATCAAGATTAACTTTAATGTCTGATTATCTAAGTGATAGGACATATTGATTATATTCTAAAATTTTAATATTTATATTTCTGATTAACCTTATAAAATTTCAGATTAATCTTATAAAGAACTGAATATCATTTTAAGCTTTTTTACTGATCAAGTAATTAGTAAACCAGTAAATCTCCTTTTAAGTTTATAGGCTGTCACCCTTTAGTTTATTCTTTGAATTATGCTTTATCATCTATTCTAGTATATGTAGGAATGTTCATTAATTGATTGTATTGATAATATTTATAAAATAAAACCTAGTTGCAGCAGTATTGCATTTAGTAAGCTTTTTTGTAACCTTTTTTATAAGCTTTTTAAATAACCTTTATTAAAGCATTTAATACTTGTTCGAAATGGTTTATATAAGTTAGATCTGTACAACTTTGGGGTAAAATGTAAACTGCACTATTAGGAAGATATTAAAGTAGAGGCTATATTTACAGTGTCGTCTTTCAAATCTAGCTGTGCTGTAAACTGATGTTTGCTGTATGCTCCTCCTGATTTGAAATAGATGAAAGAAAATGAACCTATTATCAACATGGTTCACACAATGATTGAGAACTCGGCGCTAAGACCCCAACTGTACCAGCAAGTAAGGTCTTGGACAGTGAATGATACTGCTTTATCATCTGCAAAATCCCTCAGTGACAGTTTTGGTTTATCCTCAGAGTTACTCATAACATTAGTGTTTTTCTTATTTCATTTTTTGTTTATGTCTATTTGGAAAAAAATGCAATTCATCTATGCTTTTCAAGATGCTGCAGTATTCTTAGCATGGCTTTGCTGAACATTTTGCTGTCGAATATTAAGTGTGCCATTTTCCTGAAGTTTTTGTGTAGAGTATTTGATTGATATGTACTTGGAGGTCTGCAGTGCATTTGCAAAATTTTACTAGATTGCCATTGATTTTAACTAAAAATTTTAAAATTCCTTATAACTTAAAGCATTATAAGGAATTTTTAGAGAAAACTCAAAAAAAATTTTTTTCCCCTTTCAAGGGGCAACCCCCCATAATCTCCCCTCAGTATTTTAGAACTAGATTAGATCTGTATGGGAGTTCCTTAAATCTAGTTTCTGAGCTCTGGTATGGTAAAACCTAAAGGTGGCCATTTCTTACCGGGAGTGTCTTCTCCCTGCGTTTTTATCATACTTATGCAGTTATCAAGATAGTCATATCTTACTCCACTCTTTTCCTTAACTCAAAATATGTACCATAGAGTTAGCTGGCTTTAATTTAGGGCCTTGGTAATCTGCAGATCTGCAAAAGAAGTCATTTTATACATTCCTATCCAATTTTTTTGTATTTCATGGTCTAAATGTTCTTAGCTGTGTGTTTTGCAACATCAGCTTCTTCCACTTCAACACTCAAATTACTGTGGCCTATGACCTGTTACAACTACTTAAATCATACAGAAGAAGAAAATTAACTAACATGAAAAATGAATATATGCTTTGATTAAAATATGTAAAATACCTGGTTTTAAAAAAAGCACCTCGATCTCGCACTGGCTTTAAAGGCCTCTGGTTTGCTTTAATCACCTTGGGGTTTGCATCATGGTCTTTTAACTGCGAGAGTAAAACAGTCGGTGGGAAGGTAACTCATTTCTAAGCATATTTTTCATTTGAAAGAAAGAGATGAAGTATTAAATATTTAAAGTTAAACAGCTTTACTTTCCAAAAAGAAAATGGAATCTTTCCATTCTTTAAAATCACCAAGTTATAGGACCTTGACACTTGATTCCAAAATATCACACCAAGAACCTTAGCACCTCTTCTGGAATTGATACCCTTTTCAGTGTCTGAAGCTATCACTTTATTGTTTTATATAGTGTTAAATTGACAGGAGATCAAAAGTATTTTAAAAGTTGTAATAGGTTATGTTTTCATTTTTCGCACTGCATATTTTCAATCAGAGTGCTAGCCTCGATGTTCTGTTTGTTTTGTTTTTTCTTTTTTATATTGATCACTAACCAGGTTGATGCTGCGGACGTCATTGCTGATTGAAATTACTGCTGCAGTAAAAGCTCTAATTGGTGTTTTTCAGATATGTAGGGATATCTGAAACTGGTCTTTTACAGTATCATTGACCTTCAATAATGAAAGTGCATTACATTTATATGAATATTTTTCATATTAATACTTGAAAGAAAAAAACTGAAATTATACAAAACAGAGCTAGAAGTCAAATGTCAGCAGCCATGCATGGTCATGAGATGGGCAGCCTGTTGCTAAGTAATTAGTGCTGTCTCAGTGCTATTAAGTCTAGTAAGTCTTCAGACGATCCTTTTTTTTAATCAGCCACTGGCAACATACTTAATTGTTTTAGGGCATCTGTTGATGGATAAAAGTGACAGACACGTTTCTTAAGCTGTTTATAAATTTGCATAAATTGAAATTAGATCTTATTTTTTCCTCAAGGTTTCCTTTATCATGTTGTTATTATCCAAAGATCTTTACGAAAGTTTATAATGTACATTGTTACAGTTTTGTTTTTCTGACATTGCATTACAGTGATGTGTTAACAGGCCTCTGAAACTGAGTCAAAACTATAGTGACAATATAATGTCTTATGACCTATTTTGAATCACAGCCTTTCAGGTTTTCTGTCAGGAGAACCTTTATATTTACATTTCCTTAGAAGAATGGAGGACACCTGAGAAATTACACAGGCAGTAATTATCTTAAAGTCAAGTAAATAGTACCTAAAACTGATTCAAAACAAATGCTAAATAACTGAACATCAAGTTGAAAAATTTCTCTGCACTTACTAATTCTGCTGCCTTTCTTAATACATTTTTGTGTCAGAGATTTTATAACATAATTAATATCAATGAAATTAGTCACCTGATAATTATTTTAAAAGATACACAAACCCAATGAGCATTTTTGAGTCCTTATAGAATGTAATGTCTAATTTTACCAAATATTTCCCCCAAAATACTCCTGGGATTTGTGTCTGTATGTATGTGTATATATATATTTCATATACTAAAGGGGTAGATACTGTAGAAAGTTGAATTTTAATTGACAAAAGTGATTTTAACTTGATGCCAAGACAGTTTTTTAAAAGATTATTAGGTACCTTATGAAAAAGTTCTGACTTTCTAAATAAAATATAGCACATATCCTTATGTAGACAGTAAAGTTTGCATGGTACTTGTCTAAAGCTTGAGCACTACTCAAGCTCATATAATTACTACAGAGCCCTTTTCATTTGCTTTGCTAGTGTTACGGAGGTACTTCAAACTCAGAACTTCTTTATTTTTGCTAAAGATTAATTTGAAAAATGATCGAAACTGTTGCCATGAAACATTATTTGGTGCAGAACTTGAGTTAATCAGAACATTTATGAGATTATATATTTTTCTTATAGAAGGAGTTTTATATTGAAAATGAATAGCAAACTTCAATTGTAGGTCAAAATTGTTTTTTAATAAATTATATTCTTTTTTTTTTTTTTTTTTTTTAAGAAAAGCCTTAGTAATGGAAACTAGGCCATGCTTAGAAGTTAATTATTTAAAGAATCTTGTTTTCGTATGCTTTTCTTCTGACATGTAAAAGCAGTGTATGTTGGAAGGTTAATTATTTTAAGATTTTTGTTGGTTGGTATCTAATAATGAATATCTTTATTGAATAACCTGATAAAAGATTTTAGTAAATTTTTCAGTGGTACTAAAAATATAGGTAGAAAAATATTTTAATTTATGTAATATTTTTATGTCTATAAGAATGTATCGCTCTAAAATTATAACTATACAGAACACGTTTTTCTTTTTTATAATCTGCCAACTAATATAAAAATGAATATGTAATAAGATTCCCTAAATAGTACTAGACTTATCAGGGTGATCACTTCATAAGGTCTACAAATGTCTAATCACTGTGTTGTACACTTGAAACAAATAGGATATTGTATGTCAACTGTGACTGAAAAATTTTAAAATACATACTTTAAAAACTCAATGAAATTGAAATATCAAAGGAAAAAAGATTCTCTATATAAAAAATAGTATACCAATATCCTAAATACTTATCCTGGATTATTAGGTTTTCATTTAAAATTATTAGTCTTTTATCTGTTGACTCTGGGATATAGGTTTCGATTCATGTTTTAATCTGGATGTAGCGCTGTCCACTAATTATATTCAAATCCTGCATTCCATGGCTCAGTAAAGCTGTTTTGCATTTAACTTTAAATATTAAATAAGCAGAGTATATTTGGACATTGGTAGCTAAAGGCTTTATAAATGAGAAAATATAAATAAGAAAATTTTTGTCATCTTACATTTTTATGAATCTAAAGATTGTAAAACTTTTCATTACATTTTTTTTCAGATTGCAGCATAAATTCTTGGATCTAGGTGCTTTAATTTTGAATAATTGACACTTCTCAGGACATTCAGTGATCTTTATTTTAAAATAGCGCACAAGTATTCTGATGTTTGTTATTAAATTCATTTTTCATGTGACGTTCATTTCTGTAGAGTTTTGTGGTTAATAATCACTGTGCATACCCTTAAATAGTCACAGGTTCATTTGCATGAGATACGTGAAAGTTGTGTCTTGAAATAAAACACTCAAATCCAGGATTTATTATTGTATGTTTGGAATGCTTACTTTTTTAACCTCCTGATTCCCACATTTCTAGAGCCATTCAAAATTACCTACTGTTTAAATTGTGCCTCCTTCTAAAGATGTAACTGTCGAGCAGTTTTTTAAAGAGAGAATATAAGTAGCTATAATTTATACATTCTTATACATTTGTATGTATAAGAAATCTGATATGTATATATGTATATATGAAATCTGATTTTCCAATCTAGAATATAGTTGGGGTATATTTCTCCCATCCCCACTTTGAGAAAAAGTGTGCCATTTAGTAAATATGCAATGAGCCCCAATTAAATTTTTCCTACTATGTTTTTGTTATTATCTAGTAGTCAGTATATTAAGTCAAAAGACAAGAGAGATGGTAAAATATTGCCTGCAGAAGCTGTGATATGATCTGTAGTGACTGGGATGGCTGTTGAAATCTTGATAATAAGCATACTCAGAAATGAGGATTTTTTTGACCAAAATAAACTGAAAAAAATGATGTTTAAATATACTGAGTAATAATTCCTTACGGTATAATAAAACAACTGGTGTCAACAAACACGTATAAAAGCTTTTTATGGAATTTGACTATCCATGGTTTATTGGCTTTCAGTTTTATGAGGTTTTGAATGATTTTCCTCTTTTCAATTAAACCCATCCTTTTCCTCCATTATCTTTTAGTTCTTAAGACAGAAGAACAAGATAAGTCTATATTGTGTATGTGTGTTTATATATTATGTATCTGTATATAATATGTTATTAGGTTTTGTTAGTAAAATTGTACTAAGATGTGTTGGCATTTCAGTGTACACATACACAATTGTGTGATTATGTGTATACTCTGAAGGACGGTTTTGATTGTTGAAATATACCTGATTTGAATATTTGATTCAATACAGTTCTTATAGTTTTATTTGTCAATTTTTCATTAAAATAATGTATGTCTTACAAATGGAAAGATGTAAAGTGCTGTGTAATTTTGTTTGACCAGCTTACTATTTTGTTTCACAAGCTTAAGTTAACATCATTCTTAATGTATCTTGCATATTGTATCACTGTTAAATATTTTTCTACTTTTGTAATGATCTGTGTTTGAATTAAACTTCTAAAATTATAAAAATCATTAAAACCCCATTTTTGTTATATAAATCCAAAATATTAACTATAGGCTAAATAAATACATTTTGAAATATTAATTTTAAAGTTGCTATTTGACATTTTTCCTTATAGCTATCACAAGATGAATGCAGAGGCACATTATACAAATACAGACCTGAAGAAGTAGATATCGATGTAAGTATTAGTATGCTGTGTATTGACGGACTGTCATATTCTCTGCCAAACACTAAATAAGCCTGACAAAAATTCCTCCTCCTCCCCTTCCTTTTTCACTTAGATTCCATTAAATGCGCACTCCTTAATTTATTCTCTGTCCGTCTTCACCCCCATAATTAGCAGTTGAAAGTATTAAGAATCACTTAAATGAAAGTAAAAGAGTTTTGTGAAAAGTTATGCAGGACTGGAGACAAAATAAAATAGTCTGTCTTCTAGAGAAAGTGTTAGCCTCTAGAAATTCTATCATTCCTTTTAAAATTAAATTTAGTTTTTTAATCATATTTTAGATTGCTGACTTGCTACGCAGTTTTACTTACTTATATGTCTTTCTTACCTCATTTCCCCCGGTTTTATTCCATTTGTTCCTCTTTGCATATTTCAATATGCACTAGTCCCCCCTTATACGTGGTTTCGCTTTGTACGGTTTTAGTTACTCACAGTCGGTTTCTATCAAAATGTTAAATGGAAAATGGAAAATTTCAGAAATAAACAATTCATAAGTTTTAAATTGCATGCTGATCTGAGTATCATGGTGAATTTTCATGCCTTCCCGCTCCATCCCACTTGGGATGTGAATCACATTGTGGGTGCTTCCTGCCTATTGGTCACTTAGTAGCCATGTAGGTTATCAGATCGATTATCAGGGTATCACAGTGTTTGTGTTCAAGTAACCCTTATTTTATTTAATAATGGCCCCAAAGTGCAAGTACTAAAGCAGGTAATTCAGATATGCCAAAGAGACACCATAAAGCGCATGTATGTATAAGAAAAAACAGTATATATTGGGTTTGGTACTGTCTGTGGTTTCAGGCATCTATTGGGCATCTCGGAGCAATATGACCCACAGATAAGGGGGGACTACTGCATTCCATTTGATGTAGCTTGAGTTTCATTGTCTAACAAAGATAAAGTAGTTACTTTAATAGATAAAAAGACAAAGAAAGTGAAATGTCATGTTTCTTGCTTTCTTGTTACGCAGTAAAGCTTGGGCATATTTATGGTTTGTCCAGGGTTTTTATTTTCAGATATGTGTAGAACTGGTTTATTGTAGTATTGAAATTTAGAGTACTCTAAATTTGTTAGAGTACTCTATTATATTGTCATAATTTTAAAAATTGGGGTAGTACCAAGAGTAAAACTATTGAAAGTAATTTTTCTCCACTAGCAATATTTTTATTTGTATTACAATTAGAAGCAATCTTTTGTTTATATTCTTTTCTAAGAACATAAGAACATATTTTAAAAATATAAAATAGAATCCAGTTGGTATTTTAATTAAGTGCTATGTATATCATTTAACCTATCCAGCAGTTCATAGGGAAAAAAAATCTTAACCTCATTGAAATGATTTGTTGAAAGCATATGAGACTGCTAAGAATTTTTTGAATTACGTAAGTTAAATAATATGGTTGAAATGGTTTTCCATTTTACATGCATGTTTTTTAAGCATTCTATCTTTATAAGATATATTTAAATTTTTATATTACTCAATGAAATAAAGATTGACCTAATTAGGTATTCTAAATGTGTTTTCTTGTTTTAACTACCTCTAGTTACAGGAATGATGACTACCTACCTCCAATTACAGGAAAAATAAAAAATTGCTAATAAAAGACATCTTCTCTTATCACCTAGGCCAAGTTAAGCCGTCTATGTGAACAAGATAAAGTGGTACATGCTCTGGAAGAGAAACTTCAGCAGCTCCACAAGGAGAAAGTAGGACAATTATGTTTATTATTAACTACAATTGATGTTACTTTATATGATTATTATCAAGACACTGATAACTAAAGTAAAAAAGAATTAATTTGATGATGCAGAACATTAAATGTAATTATTTTTTATTATAATAGTATACGCTTGAGCAAGCTTTGCTGTCAGCCAGCCAAGAGATAGAAATGAACGCAGATAACCCAGCAGCCATTCAGACCGTGGTGTTACAGAGGGATGATTTACAAAATGGACTGCTTAGTACATGTCGAGAGCTCTCTCGAGCCACTGCTGTGAGTACATATTTTTTTCATAGTAAGAGTCACTGAAATATCATACAGTTCTCTTTTTAATTTAATTTATATTCATATTTAATTGGACTGTTTTTAAGATTGTTCTCTATTATAACAAGAAATTAATTTGTTAATAATATCAAAAATAAAGGATGATCTATTTCTCTAGGCATTTTGTTTTTTGTGAAATAGTTTTACAAAAGAGATAAATACTCCTGGTTATGTATCATGCAAATGAAAAATTCTTAAGATACGTTAAAATTTATCACATTGAGAAAATATTTTGTGGCTTTTAGGGGAATTAGAATAATTTTGGGAAGGTGGTAATTAGATTCACTTAACCAACCATTTCATAAACTGTACCTGTGAAATGCTTTTAAGAAGCCATCAACATTCCATTTCATAGCTGCAGTGCGATCTAAGTATAGATGATAGGTTCGAATAAGAAATATGATTAGCAGAACCTTTTAACCCATAGTTATGTCACTTTATGAAAGGTATCTTGGGATTACCAAGTCTAAAAGTCTTAGCCAGAGTTTATAAATTAAGTGTTTTATAAGTTTAAACAGTCTGCTTTAGGTCTTATGATGTAGTCATCTTCTAAACATAGTAAGAGCACCTACCCAACAGCCTTTTGAAAGAGAAATCCCTGCAAAAGCCACCTGTTAAAGAAAGCTGCTCATGCACGCTCGCCTATACCTTCAGTGGCCTCTTTAGGGAGCAGCTACCTTTTAAGAAGATCTATAGCTTAAGTAAGAGAGGTCTTTCCAAGCTGGCAGCATACCGGAATCTCAACATGGCTTCAGTTCTGAATAACGTTAAAATAACATTCCAAACAAAAGCTATTTTTAAAGGAATATGTCATAGTTTTAGATAAATCAAAACTTAGATTTTATGATTCTTTAAATACCTATGTTTAATATACCTATTCTTGGTTTAAAATGATCTCATTTAGTCTCTTAATTACACTGTAATGTTTATAGGTTTTTAAAAATATTTAATATCCTTTTAATTGTCATCTAGAAATCAGAACCATATCTTGTTCATCTTTGTAGCTCTAGCATTCAGTACTACAGGATGTGCACTAAAAATTTGATGAATGATTGAACTGAATGATGCAGATCTAACCATAGTCCTGAAGACTTAGATCTACATGGAATTTTATAATGTAGTCATAAAGAAAATATATGCACCTGAAATGTTGTTTACAAAGAAGTAGTCAGTTAATCAGTGATAGGTGGGATTTGACTAGGAAGAAAGAGGAAATAAGAGGTGGTCCATACAGGACAAAATGGCTTGAAACACAGCACAGAGATGACAGTATTGGAAACATGTCTGGAGAAGCAGGAAGTAGAACTGACTAACTGACTGACTAACTGGCTTAGGGGATTAGGAATATGAAATTAAAAAGTGAAAATGGCATTAATCCAAGCTAATGAAAAAATTGGTATCCCTGTGACAACCTGAGTCAAATCAAAATTTAGTTGGAAACTATTTTATGATTGGTGTCTGTTTTAGAAAATTCTAGGGATGTAAAGTGTTCATTGGGTTTAATAACTTAAATCTCATTTGTAGGCTTAGAATTTGCTCCATATCAAGGTTAACTCCAGCCTTGAAAGTTTACTAAAAATGTTTTAATAGAAATTAATCATCTCAGAGTACCCCATTTTCTAGTTGGTATTCTATATAATCACTTTCCTGTGTTTTTTTCCCCTTGCCTTCAGCATTATTCAGTGATCATTACAAACCCTCAATATGTTCTTCTAAGACATGTCTTACTACATAGAATACAAGCTATGTTATTTGTGCCTTTATGTAAACTTATTCATATTTGCATTTTAAGGCTGCAGATGATACATAACATCACACTGGGCATATGGTGGGCACTCAATTGATGCTGATTATATTTAAATCTGATTAAACATTTGTGCCAGCAGAATCTCAAAGGAGTCCTCTGATTCTTTCACAGTTGATGCAGGGCCTTGGTTCAAATCCAAATTCTGAGGTAGAAAAGATTCGATAACATAAGAGGTATAACGTTAAAGCTTCCATACATCAAAGCTTTGATTTTAGAAAACATCCTCTCACCTGGTTGGCCACTAAAGTACATAAAACTAGATTGACACAAGGTAAAGATGTAAAGCAGTCTTCCTTTTATGTTTTATTTAATTCTTGAAACTACATCTCCTCTTCATAAAAAGAGCCACCCAACAAACATACGCTTTAAGCACATAGTGCCTTTGTGTTCTCTCCTTGCCTCTGCGTTGTTTTATTTAAGCCTGATTAGTAAGAAAAATTAACAGTTACCCCTTGAAATTTTCAGTGGGTCCCTGTCTTAGTTTGGGTTCTCAAAATAGAGCTTGAGATTAGAAACTGGGTTCCGAAGGTTTATTTGGGAGATGATTCCAGGAAGCAGAAGTAAGGGAGGGTGTAGAGTGAGACAGGGAGGAAGAAAGGCCAGTAAAGGTTTCACTACTGAGTTTGGTTACCACTGTGGGCAGCAGGAGTTTGATCCCACTGGGGACTCTGAGAAAATAGCAGAATGATTCAGAATTTCCCACGGAAAGGCTGGGAGGCTGGAGTATCTATCACTCATTCATTGAGATTGCCCCTGGGTCCTTAATTCATCCATACTTCCAAACTGCATTGGCGAGCTTATCATGAGACACTTGGCATGCATGGAGCTCTACCATAGGTCCTTGAAATCAGGTGGGCAAAGGCGGGTGGTGTGGAGCTCCATAACGTCTGCTACAGTCTCTTCTTGGGGAATTTACATTAGGCCTTATCTCTAAATGTAAAGGATATATTCTTACGTTTTTTTTTTTCAGCTCCACAAGTGCTTTTATTCTTCCCAACAACTCAAGAAGACAGATAAAGCAGATACCATTCACATATTATAGATGAGAATTTGTGACTCATCTAATAATAGCAGAAAAATACATTTGTATTTCTGCATTTTTCACATACATTGTCTGGTTTGATCCTTAAGAAAATGCTGTGCAAAATAAGTGTAATTATTATCTCCATTTTATTTTCATTTTTATTACCTCTCCTGTACAGATGAAGAAACTGAGATTCATGGAGGTTAAATGACTTGCCAAGGTGACATAACGAATAACAGAGTCAACACCTAAATCAAGGACTTAATTCTAGGGCTTCTGTACTTTCTAGTCCATTTCACCATGTGGTCATGTGTACTTTCTTGGAAGCAAATATATATTACTGAAAATCTAAAATTGGAATTTCAACCACTAGAAAGCAGGTATAAAGGCTCCCAATCATCCTGAATCATGCTAGTAGATGGCTTCTGCATTTATCCATAATAGCCATGTAAAATAATACCAATATGAAATAACACTAATAATCATGAATATTTCTAGAGCAGTTATTGGGTGTAGAGTCTCATTATAAGTGCTTTACATGCACTTATCCACATAATAACCCCTTGATATGTTTACTATTGCTACTATGTTAAAAAAGTGGAAGACTGAAAAAATAAATTTATTTTTAAAAATGGAAAACTGAGACACAGGGATTGTCCAGAGTTATACAGTGAATAAGTAGGCTAGGATAGACTTCCATTAAACTTATTTGTGTTCTGAACTGGATTCTAAATAGGAGGGCCTTGAGTAAACAGAGATTTTAAACTACAATAGATAAACTAGGTTTAGGATTACAAACTTAAATAGACAGGCAAGCAGGACAGGTGAACTACATTGGGGAGAAGCTTACACACTAAATGTCTTCATGTACTCATTCTCAGTGTAATAAAGAACTACTGAGAATTATGGTTACAACAAAGTATAATTTTTTACAGTAGATCTGTCAACATCCATGAATTGTCATGGAATATGCTTTGGAAGATTTTAAAGTGGTTTTTAAATACCCTAGTTATTTCATGATTACAAAATAACATCCCCCAAAAAAGAGGCAGCCAGATGTGATATGCCTCCTGATGCTCTGCACTAGGAAGTACCCAACAACATTTAAGAGATATTTTTACATCCCCCCCCCCCAAAATCAAATCTGAATCTCAGCAAGCCTCCATATCTAACTACGGGTTTATAGGAAATACATGCTACAGAAGATGATGCAATGCCATAGGAATTCAGTTAGCAAAATCTAGAGTAACAGAAATCGTACAGAACAAGTGACCCATTCTCCTCTACAAATAAGTAGCAAGCAAATGGGGGAAAAGTGTTGTTACAATTAAAAATATTTCTTGAAAGATTACGTACCGATGATTTAAAAAAATGATTTCTCTTATTTTTCATTTTGGTTTCTTTAGAAACACATACTGATGTGTTTATAGATGAAATAATAATGATGCTTGGTGTTTGCTTAAAATAATCCCACGGAGGTAGAACATGGGTGCTATACATGAAAACCAGATTGGCCATGTATTGCTAACTGTCAAAATCGGATGATAGATTCAAGAGATGGAATATAGTTTTGTTTCAAAGAGATAACAGAAGAAACTAAAAATATGAGTTAAAGATCATAAGTAGCCAAAAATTTAAAAATGTATATAGCCAAAAAAGTAGAATTACTGTAATTGTTACCATAAACTAGAATTCTAAAACATAGGTAACTCTGTATCCATGGCTGATTTAGTCGATCCTCATTTTACACAGTTTGGATTTGGTTACTCTTAAAAATTTTTTTAGGTTTAGAAAAGCCAGTATAGTCATTATTAGTAAAGTGTTTCATAAATAGTGATTTTTATTTGAGATATAGTTATATGATAAGGCAAGCATAAAATCATAAAAGACAGATATCCTTTTTGAAAAACGATTTAAATAACTAAGCCCATTTTTCAAATCTGTGCCAGAAAAATCTCTATATCCTGAAGGTAACAATGAAATCAGATTGATTTTATTTTTGATTCATCTCAAAAATCAACTGCTTCTAATACCTAGTTGACAGAACTGTTATGGTTGGATGGTAATGACCAATATATTAACATTTTCTTGTGTGCCTAGTTCTCATAATAGTAAACTTAAATATTACAATGCTTTTTAACTCTCCAAGACTTCATAGTGAACATTAATCTGTAATATTTAAAACTGAAAAGAGTTGTTTGAAGTTTACCTTAAGCTAATGAAAAATCATACTACATCTGTACTATTGCCCCTTCTCCATTTTGAAACTGAAAATCTGTCAATTACCATATCTTAAATTAAAACTCAGACACTAATCGAGAGGCAAACCGGAAATAAACCAGTCTCTATTAGCTCTAAACATAATGTAATAATTATTTACTTATTTAAGTATATTTTATAACTATTCCTTCTGGGTTTTATAAGTTGTTATAAATTACCATTGATTCTGGATAAGAAAAGGAAAGTTCTTATTACATTAAAAATTTGAAAACTAATCATTAGTTCTAATCCTTTCTTAACTGTTATAACTCTGTAGTTAGGTATTAAAATCCTTATTGATCTTTTTGGTACTGTGAGATTTCACTGCATCTGAATGTTGCAGACCTATTCGAAGTTTGTTTTCCCGCACAGTGGCCAAGTCTTGTCTCAGTACAGAGCATAGCATAGAGAAGTAACCACTATTAAAATTTCTTTGTTCCATGCCCTAAATTTAGACTGTCATTTTTTTAAAAGTTTTCTGTCATCCCTATAACAATCCCACATATTTTTTTAACATGCTCTTGAGGAGAGTACACAGATTAAGTACACAGATGTGGCTGACATTCATATCAAGACACTGAATTTTACGAGCATGCCAGAGGCTCCCCTCCGAGTGACTGCCTTCTCCCCAAAACGCCATTACCTGACTTAAACTATATATTAGCTTTGTCTGTTTTTGAATTTTATGAAAGTGTGATCATAGAGTATATACTCTTTGGCTTCTTTTAATATGGTGAAGTTTATCCATGGGGTTGCGGACTGCAAGAGTTCAGTGTTTTTACTTACGGCATAAACTCTCCACATTTTATTGAAAGCACTGTTTCTTGACTTGTGCCTATGATAGTAAGATATCTGTATGTTTGAAAGTCATTACACCTTTTAATTGCCTTAGTGTACCTATACATTCTTAACAAAAAATAGCAAGCTTATAATTAAAGATTTTAATATTGTACTTATATAATCCACTAAATTCTTGAATGAAATACTCATCCAGGTGTTGGGAAGAAACTGATGTTATGCCAGTCCTGCCCCTTTTCTTGCCATCTTGTGTTGACTTGTGTTCTGCCCACCCATAATCATGTTTGAGGAGCAGAGAAGTAAAGGCAGAAATGGGGGAGGCCCAGCAGGATTAGTGAGACTTAGGACAAATGACACAGTGCAATGGCAGGACTTTCCAGGCTGGGAAAATTAAAAGTGTATTGATTCTTCACCCCTAAAATATTGATAAAGTAATCTCTAGCTCTCAATCTCTGTTTCTCCTATGTTTCTGTAAGAAAAACAAAGATTCCCACCCTCTGAAAATGTTCTTATATGTAGATGCCTCTACAGAACCTTTGGGCCCACCCTAACTCTGGCTTTTCTAGGAGAAGTTAGGTGTTAGTTTGGCAATGCTATCTTCCTTAATTGCTAGGCTACCATTGGGTCTTGTTATCCTCATTTTACCCTCTCTGAAGCCTTCAAAGGCCACAATTTAAATTTGCAGTTTTTGTGATGTGCACAAGTTAGAAGATGAATAGAAACAATTTTTACTAAAGGAGATTAATATCCTTATTTATCCAAATAGAAACACTTTGCTGAATCCAAGTAAGGATTCTAATATTTACACAATATAAATGAGATAAAAATCTTTAATACTTTATCACTTTGCTTTTTTAAAATTTAATTAATTGTGAAATCTCCGCAATAGACTCCTTAAACTATCTATATAATACAGAGATGATTTTAAAAAAACCTCCAGTAGTTTATCTCTTCTTTTTTAAGAATATAATTCATTGTAAATCCTGCTTAAGGAGAATCTTAAATTTTAAAAGCAGTTATACCAAGTGGCAAAATTTTAACACTTTAATTTTTTAAATTATGCACCTCGAGCAATTTTTTCATTGCATAAGTTTGATCTCAGAAGCTAAGCAGGGTCGGGCCTGGTTAGTACTTGGATGAGAGACCAACTAGGAAGACTAGGTACTGTAGGCATTTTAAAAAATAATAATAACTCATTAAAAGAGAACCTCTAAGAACTTGAGGTATTGCTGTTTGTTTGTTTGTTTTTACTAAGATGATTTTAAGTAACCTTTCTTCTGCACTACTACCCTCTTTCCTTATCCCCTAGACTGTTGCTGTTGTTAAACTGACATTTCCCCGGGGAGCTTGTTCAGAGCAATGGAAGGCAAGAAATTCCTGGTCATGGGAGGTTCTTAGATAAGAGTTGCTAATTCATTTTACAACAGGATTCAGTAAATACTTGTTGGTTGTGTTACATGTGCCAGCACCACAATAGATACTGGCGATGAAATAGTAATCAAATATAGTCCCTGCCCTTAGTTTATCAATTTATTGACTTCATACCACTCTCTGAAATGTCTGAAGAGTAACTACAACCCATAGATAAGTACCTATACCCCAGCAGAATAGCATTCCTGAAGCAAAATATAATGACGATATATTTTTGAGCGCTTGTTCAATGGATAACAGGTGGTTAAAGACTGAAGTATGAAAAACCTCTATGAGTTTAGGGTTTCGGAGATGATGTTTTTTCCCAACAGAAAAGTATAGGCGGGTAGTCTATATTGACTCTCAGTGAGCAGGATTCACTGACTAGTTAGCTGAATTAGGTTTATGACATTACTATAAATTTACCTAAGTAAAGACATGTCAGGCTACTGCTATTACTGAAAATCCCACATGCTAAAATGCAACCTATTTAGTATTTTTATTCATGGAGAAATTTTTATCGGGACATACAAGAAAATGCTTCAAACAGTAAAGGAAAATGAATTAGAAAAGTTTTTATTTTGCTCAATATAAACCACATAATAATTGAGGTGATAATGACATAAAAGTACATTTTCTTGATAAAAGTAAGTAAAGCTTTTTGATTTTAGGAACTGGAACGAGCATGGAGAGAATATGATAAGTTAGAATATGATGTAACCATTACCAGGAACCAGATGCAAGAGCAGCTAGATCACCTTGGTGAAGTTCAGGTACTAAAGTGTAATGTTTTCACATTGTTTAAACAGATTTTGACTGGTACTGTACAACCAAAGTAGCCCCTCTCTCATTGTTTAAAAGCTCTTTATTCTGTTGGGTACATGGTATGAGTCCTGTGGTGTTCTGTGCTCTTAGCTAACTATATGTCACTTGGTATTGAGGTATTGAATTATATGGATTTTCCAAATAATGGATATTTTATCTTTTTAAAAAATGTATTCTAATTCATGCTATATTAAATGCCTCTTTATTCTATTATATTTAGTCTATTATTTTGACTGATATATTATTAGATAAGGGAAAATGCAGCACCATTTGGAATAAAGAATCCAGTTTTGTAAACAGGCAGAAATGGGATCAAGTTCCAGGTGTTAGTTTTCTTATCTTAAAGTGTTGCTGTGAAAAATGGAGATAATATGTTTAAGGAAATTTGTAAAGTTACTTAATGCTGTGGCCCTATGTAAATTTGATCATTTGCATTAGAAGCCCAGTGGACTCAATAAACAAATTAATACAACATATAAAAAGCTAATAAAGTTGACTCATAGAAAATCAACTGTCCTCTGGCTGTGTTGTCCAATATAGAAGCCACTGATGCACTTAAAATGTTGCTGGTGTAACTGAGAAACTGGATTTTTTATTGTACTTCATTTTAATTGTCTAAATTTAAGTATCCAAATGTGGTCATGACTAAAGTCACACTAAGATACAATAGAAAAAAAACTGTAAAATAGAAACAAAGGGTCAGCAAACTTTCTGTAAAAAGCAGATACTGATTTTTTTTTTCATGATCACTTATTTATTTTCTATACAAAGATATTGAATATTTTTGATGGTGCAAGTATATACATACACTCTGTCACGGAATCTCAGGTGCTTTTGGCTTTTTTATAACTCCTTAAAAATGTAAAAAATCTGTTCTTAGTTTTCAGGCCAGAGTACTCTGCCAACCCTGATTTAACCTAACAAAAAATATTCATCGTGACATAAGAGAAGACTTGAATAAAAGGGAAAGTGTAATCATATATCATGTTCATCAATGGCCCGATTTAACACTATCACAATGAAAAGTCTTCATATAAGCTCAGTTCTATTTCAACCAAATTTCAAGAACTTTCTGAAAAAAATTAACAAAATAATTCTAATATATTTAAGACCACAAGAAGTTGAAATTTTTTTAAAAAATAACTAGAAGGTGTACTCTATAAGAAGTAGCATTGCACGTGTGACCTTAGACCAGTTATATAACAACTCTGTGCCTCAGTTTGCACACCCGTATAATGAAAATAATAATACCAACCACTACTGGCTTATTATAATGATTAAATGTGTTGATATTTTTGAAGCACTTAGAAAAGTATCAAGCACATAAAACATATGGTTTGTTATATAAGTGAACAATGAAGACAACATAGACAATCTTAAAAGATGACATACCAGGAAGAAGTATCTTGAACACTAAAATTCAATGAGTTACTATCTAGATTTGCAAAGAATTTTTTTTTAGTTTAGAGAAACAGTACATTAGCAAAATGGACAAAGAACATAGGTAGTTTTAATTCATAAAAAGTAAAACATTGCTAACAAGTGTTTGAATATTGTTCAAAGTCACTATTAACTAGAGAAATGCAAAACAGAACAAAAATGAGATTTTCATTATACATCTTTCATATAGGCGAAAAGATGTATATATATTTTTAATTATTGTAAGAGTAATCCATAGTCTGTATAGAATATGCAAGTGTCTGATTTTTAGAGTTGATATTCTCTCCCTGTAAGTCTGTTATCAATCAGTATTCACATCTCTGGGCTGTCATCATGTTGGGTGTGTGTTAGTATTTCCTTTTACTTTGATATTTTCATCCTATGGCTCAGAAAACTGGATACCTAAGATTGTGCAGTGCCTTTTTGAGGCAGTGTTGGTACATAGCCCTTATGTGTATAGACTTTGAAAACATATTTCAACCCCTCAGAGGGCTTTTTATCTTGCTAATAAAATACTGATTGTATTCTAATATCTACAGTTGTCAAAAACTGATAGTCAATGAAAAAGATTTTTTTCTAGCTAATGTGATGGCTTTATACTTTGTTGCCTATTTTTTTATAAATTTACATTCCTAAAAATTATATTTGTTGATATCTAAGTATCAGAGTCATAGAAGTGCAATTACAATCTTACTGAAAATCAATATGGTCTTATTTTGGTTTCCGTTAGAGTATTTAGCCTGAGGGCATGAAATGGGATATTAGAAGTAAGAAAATGGATATAACTTAGAATAGAATAAAAATGGCAATGATAAATTTAGATTCCAAAATTGAAAATTAGTCCTGCAAATATATTTAACTCCGTGAGTCAAAACTCTTCTAAACATATTTTATTGTCTTTTTCTTTTCTTTTTTTGGCATGTCTCTTTATGTTCTAGAACTTGGAAATTAGTATACTTTCCATTTCTTTTTTCCCCTAAAAATTTTTTTTTTAATTTGGTTTTTGTAAGTTTCTATTTTGTTCTGTTTTCCTTTCGTTCTGGTTTTCCATTTTTTGTCCCTTCTGTTCAGTATTCCTTCCTGGCATTATAAATAACACAAGGCAAAGCTTATTGAGAAGTTGTGAAATAGTATACCTGAGGCTGAAAATTTTTTTTTTCTCTCTCTGTTTTATCTCTTTTATCATTGCCACTGAAGTTCAGAAATTTTGAGAATATATTAGATATTTTCAAAATTTAATCCACTGCAATTCTGGGTTTTTAAATATATAATTAGTGGAATTTCTAACTTTAGTGACCTTTTTTTCTTGTTTGTGGTCTATTTTTACTAATAGACTGA